CATGTTTATGGTGCAGGTGATGTGGACATGTTTATGGTGCAGGTTCAACAGACAGTAAAGACTTCGATAAATTCTCAGCTTTTCTCATGATCAAATTTCTTCTTAAAATTTTTTTAACAGCTTTTCAGCGGTTCAGAGAGTTTGACGGGTTATAAGATGAATTTATCATGCGATTTATTCATTTATAATGAGTTTTGACTGTATGATTCGTATTATTGAGAGATTTTATCAATCGTTATAGGGAATGCACAAGCATGTTTCCTGCTTCCACTGTGAACAACCTCTCGCGCTTGTTTCAGGCGCCAGCCTCAGCAGGTAACCAGCACTCTGGCAACCGGTTTTCACTGTGTACGTACCCTTACTTCTTTGTTCATATGTTCTCGTTCAATAAAAAAATCTTGTTCTTAATTGATTATACTATCTTACATTTAGGGCTGTGTGCCTGATTATCCTTTCGAGTGGTACATTTAGTGTTGACACATAGGTATGATGTTATTGCATCGCAAGTAACATATAGATAATAAAATAAATTTTTCTTTATAATTCATATAATTTATTAACGGAACTATTTATTAACATTATTTATGATATTGAAACTGGATTTTAAGTGAACGCTGAAGTTTGAGAAAATTATGAATCTTGTGATGGAATTGTATGGCTTGAAGATAGTGGACGACGAAAGGTGGCACATCAGCGTGACCGTAGACGATGAGGTCCTAAACTTGACGTAAGGACATCTGTCAAGTAGACTTTTCCGTGCCTGTCCACCCAAATGCAACGCACCGGCGGTAAATTTGAGCTTAAGATCCGATAACCAGAAACCGGTTATCAACTTAACCTTGAAAACCTTCATTACAGTCATAGGAAAGATTCTAACGTTAGAAAATACGTAACTGAAACTGAGGGGAAAACTTAACATCAGTTCCAGATTTATTAGGGGCTATATTTTGAAAACAAGCCTGGTCGATGTTGATATTGCTCATCACTTTGGTACTTTGAATGCAAACGGACAATGTTTGATTTAGTGTTATGTAATATGGTGTAAATTTGTAAATAAGCGTGGTAGATCTTTATGTCGAGATCCAGTTATTAAGAATGCCCACGCCCACGTAGTACTGGAGGCCGCGGTAAATATGTTGGTGTTGGTAGTTCTTGATGTTGAGGCCTAGATATTAGGGAATGCCGTGCCTATGTACTGGTGGCCGCGGTAGGTCTGTTGATAGGTCTTGAAGTTGAGGCCTAGATACTAGGGAATGCCGTGCCTATGTACTGGTGGCCGCTTTAGGTCTGTTGATAGGTCTTTATGTTGAGGCCTAGATATTAGGGAATGCCGTGCCTATGTACTGGTGGCCGCGGTCAGTCTGTTGATAGTTCTTGATGTTGAGGCCTAAATATTAGGGAATGCCGTGCCTATGTACTGGTGGCCGCGGTCGGTCTGTTGATAGTTCTTGATGTTGAGGCCTAAATATTAGGGAATGCCGTGCCTATGTACTGGTGGCCGCGGTCGGTCTGTTGATAGTTCTTGATGTTGAGGCCTAAATATTAGGGAATGCCGTGCCTATGTACTGGTGGCCGCGGTAGGTCTGTTGATAGGTCTTTATGTTGAGGCGATTGCCCGCCAGCTCGATGGGGCAGTTTAGCCCCGGGCGGGCATAAAAGCAGACGGTGAAAAGCGCCATGTCCAACTCCGGTGACGTTCCAACGAACATCGAACCAAATGGCTTCGTTTCATCCTCCCATTTGAACTTGAGCAGGATAATGTCAGCCTGAGGATAAGATTAAGATCAGCGCATTTTTCCGTAGCAAATTCCGCCTACGCCTCATACTGATTGCGCCTCCAATTCCGATATGGCAAAGTGTCCGAATATTCAACCTCAGACATCAATATTTTAGCTGCGCTACTCAATGTCATGTCCTTGGTTAAAACAAGGCGGTATTTTTCGTTTAAAATCTTATTTGAATGATTTTAAAATCATCTTTGTTGTAATTCAAAGGCTATCAAGTGAGTAACGATCCGCACAGCCTGGTTTCCGAGTTTATTTTCATCCAGGCGTCTCGTAATCCGGCCTTTTTACAACCGAGGTCATGATCCAGTGGCTATGTACAAGGTCGATAATAAACTATTAAATTCAAATTAATTTGCTATTATTATCATACCTGCTCGCCCAGGTCCACAGTCCGCATGTGACCGAAGTAGTCCAGTTTTCCAAGCTGCTCCTGGCGGTAGAAGTTGATCCAATTGTGGAACCCGGAAACTTCGCCGCTTTTGGTCTCTCCTACGAAGACGTGTTCAAAGCCTGATGAACCGACCGTCCTGCGGCTGCGGGAGTACGGTGTGAACCAGATCTCCCTCAGCGTATCCTTCAGCGAACCGCTGATAAAGCCTGTGATGATAGTACTTGACTTGTGACTGAACCTGGTTCTTACCCATGCCTATTTCTATAGCGGTTGAATGGGGGGTTAGTAAATCAAAAATGGCTGTGCGTGAGTGTGGGGTTACTTAACCACATGCAGTGAATCGCGAGTATATGGTTTATAGTACAAAATAAGTGGTACCTATGTGGGTACCAAGCTTTTGGTAAGCTATTGCTTGACCAAAAGTAAGCTGTTACTTAAAATAAAATAGCGGTATCTGAGTGGGTAGTAACTAGAACAGAAGCAATTCGGTAGTGATTAGTACCCGAGTGAGTGTATAGATAGATGGCCAAAGTAATGTTTCCTTAGTGTGCTTCGAGTACTAATAAAGTGGTGTCATAACTAGACAGTTACCACAAGTCTGAAACTAAATATTGAAGTTTCGGAGAGCAGAGAATGAAGCGGATGTTAGCTCACTACGTAATTAAAATGTTTACTAGCGCTAGTAAACATGTGGCAACTAAACTAACTACTACGTATTTGACTTGAGTGAAACGAGCAGATAAAAACAATAGAAGGAATATAAGGTCGTTATACCTAAGCTTTGTGGTAAAATACAATTTGGAAATAGAAGAAACCGCAAGGTGAAGAACCGTAGAACAATAAGTAAGAAGATCAGTTGTAGAAGCAATCATGAGGTGATCGACCGTAGAATGACCGTATTAAACCGTGGAAGCCACAGTAGAGAGGAAAACCGTAGAATAAACCATGATCTTTCTTCTAACGGCCAATCCAGATTGTTTACTTCAGCACCCATAACTCAACCTTAAAACAAAATTTCACCCCTCAGACATTCATTATTATTAGCAAATATCACTTGATCATTACAGGAAGATCCTACCCATAACTGCGTTTTAGCCCTTTTAGCTACAGTTAGAAGCTAACAGGGTTTTTATAGTTATTGTAGATGTGATAGGCGTTAACGGCGCAAGATGTATTCCAAAGGCAGAAGGTTAAACTTGGAAAAGCTGCTTATCCGAAGTCCCGACAAAAATTCTTAATCCCCTGAGAGGTTCTTGTCTGCTTCAAACTTTTGAGAAAACCAGGTTACCATCACTCAATAGGTAGTCCCGGTTACCTACGGACCTTAGACAGTCCCGGTTACCTATGGCCATAAGATAGTCCCGGTTACCTACGGCCCTAAGACAGTCCCGGTTACCTATGGCCCTAAGATACTCCCGGTTACTTACGGCCTTAAGACAGTCCCGGTTACCTATGGCCCTAAGATAGTCCCGGTTACCTACGGCCCTAAGACAGTCCCGGTTACCTATGGCCCTAAGATAGTCCCGGTTACTTACGACCCTAAGATTGTCGTGGTTACCTACGGCCCTAAGATTGTCCCGGTTGCCTACGGCTCTAAGATCGTCCCGGTTACCTACGGCCCTAAGATCGTCCCGGTTACCTACGACCCTAAGATTGTCCCGGTTACCTACGGCCCTAAGATTGTCCCGGTTATCTACGGCCCTAAGATCGTCCCGGTTACTTACGACCCCAAGATTGTCCCGGTTACCTACGGCCCTAAGATCGTCCCGGTTACCTACGGCCCTAAGATTGTCCCGGTTACCTACGGCTCTACGACCGTCCCGGTTACTTACGGCCCTAAGATAGTCCCGGTTACCTTTAGCCCTGAGGAAGTCCTGTGTCCTGGCCATGATGCTGGTGCTCATGATGGCGTCTAGGAAGGCGTTCTGTTCCTGTCGCTCCTGAGGCGTGTCCCTCTCAGCGACAGTGACGGTCGCCTCGTAGTGGTCCAGCAGCGCCAACAGACGCTCGTACGTGGGACCAGAGAACGCCCGGGGGGACACGCTTGCAAACAGTCTGGTGGGGAAAGTTTTTATGGTAGTTGTTCAAAGTGGTAGTGGTTTATAGTGATAGTTTGAAGTGGGAGCCTGAGGGTGGGTGACAATATCGGGCGATACACTTGTTAACAGTCTGGGCGGGGGAAGGTTTATAGTGGTTGTTCAAAGTGGTAGTTTCAAGTAGAAGCCTGAGGGTGGGTGACAATCTCGGGAGACACGCTTGCAAACAGTCTGGTGGGGGCAGGTTTATGGTGGTCTACATAATGGTAGTTGTTCAAAAAGGTAGTGGTTTATAGTGGTATTTTGAAGTGAAAGCCTGAGGGTGGGTGACAATATCGGGCGACACACTTGTTAACAGTCTGGGCGGGGGAAGGTTTATGGTGGTCTATATAATGGTAGTTGTAAAAACTGATAGTGGCGCATAGTGTCAGTTGTTTACAGTGGTAGTGGTAAATAATGACAGTAGTTTATAATGGGAGCCTGGGGGTGGGTGATTACCTGGGGCGACGCGCCTCAAAACAGTCTGGGTGAGGGGGATGGGAGAAATTTCTTAATCTCATATAGAAGAAATTACTGCTCAAATATTATTTTAAATTATCAAAGAATTATTCCAATTTTGTAAAGAATCACTCATCTGAGGCCAAATCTTTAAAAAATTAAGTGAGGTATTAACGGAAAGTAGTCATAAGTAATAAATAAAAAAGAATTCAAATTATAGAATAATTATCTACATTTAAATATAATAAAAAACAATGCATAAAAATAAATTAATCAAAAAATTATACAGGAAAATTAAGTAAAGAAAATAAGCTTTCTAGAAAAAAAATACTAAAAAAACTGTGAAGAGAAAACAGCAGACTTGTTAGGGGCGTTATCGACGTCGCTGGCTGAGGAGGTCCGCCCCTGAGGAGCCAAAGTCACCAAGCTGCCCACGGCGTTCACGTCGAGCCTGAAGAGCTCTTCGGAGAGGTCACGGAGCTCACTGCGTGACACCGGTTGCGGGGTAATGCCACTAACACTGCCACTATTGCCACCACTGCCACTAGTGCCACCACTGCCACTAGTGCCTCTACTGCCACTGTTTCCACTACTGCCACTAGTAGTGATGCTGGTGGTGCCACGATTGCTGGCACTGTTGCTTCCGCCGGGAGCCACGTGGCCCCCTGGTAAAAAAAATTATTTAAGAGAGCCGACACTTGGTGATTTAAGAAAAATTAATCAAGAGACTATTATAAAAATATCTTATCAGGATATTTTTTAGCAAGACTTCATGAACTAGATTTTATCCAATAAGCAAAAACTTTTTTTGAAAGCATCCTGACCGTTGTCTCAATTTGAAACCTGAGAGATGTTTCGTGCACAGATTTGCTACATCGCAGAAGAATTAAAAAAATAAAAATATATAATAAAATAAAAAATTAATAAAAAAACTAAAATATTTAGAATGGGAAGTCTGGATACGGTGATCACAGAACTTACGACGATGGTTAACTAATTTAAAGCAAATATTAGCCTAAATCGAACTTTCGTCCTTGTGTAGGTCATCCCGACCCAGTTTGCGTGCAGAAAGTATGCAATTATTTGGACAATGTGACCCATACATTTCTCTTAGTGTTGTGTACTCACAGTCTATGCGCGCCCCTGACGACCAGGCGTTCTCCTGACGCCCAGCAACGTCAGCCGTCAGCACCTCTGAGGGGGAGGGTTGAGGATAACAGTGATGGTGATAACAGTGATGGTGATAACACAGTGATGGTGATAACAGTAATGGTGATAACAGTGATGGTGATGACAGTGATGGTGATAACAGTGATGGTGATGACAGTGATGGTGAGAACAGTGATGGTGATAACAGTGATGGTGATAAGAGTGATGGTGATGACAGTGATGGTGATGACAGTGATGGTGATAACAGTGATGGTGATGACAGTGATGGTGATGACAGTGATGGTGATAACAGTGACGGTGAGAACAGTGATGGCGATAACAGTGACGGTGGGAACAGTGATGGCGATAACAGTGATGGTGATAACAGTGATGGTGATAACAGTGATGGTGATAACAGTAATGATGACATTATTGGTGGATGAATAACAACTAACTTGCGTATAACAGAAATGGTCATAATAAGAGTAATGGTAATGCTGGTAACCTGATAATAACAGCAATGTTCATGGTAACTGCAATGGTAGTAACAATTACTTCACCATTACAGAAATTGTAATAGTGACAAAATTACCATGGCAAGTACATTAATAATTAAAAACGTATTCTAGCCAAGCATGAATGGTACCAGAAACATCAGTAATACTCGTCCATCAATCATCAGAAAAACTGGCAAAATAAAAATGGACTAATAACAATTGATTAATTACAAAGAAACTTAGCATCCAGTGTGATGGTAATTACCCTCAATTATTTGGGCCATTAATGTATGTTGCACAATATTATTATTATCATTATTATTCATAATATTATATTAAAACTGCTTAATACATCACTAAAGAGTTGCACTAACAAAATCGAAGCGCCGACAGCAGCAAAGCCATTGAAGGATAACTGGTATGGTTAAGAGAGGATAATGGAGCATGCAGGTCATTGGAGAGTAATGGAGATTGGGAAGGTTTATGGAGGGCAACGAAGGAATGCAGTAATGCTAATGTTGACTACGCAGAGACAAGCGAGGCTCTGTGCCCAGACAGAGACACTCTGTTCGGCATTTGTGCGTGCAGCGTGCTGCATATTAGTGCAGCAGCGTGCAGCACGTGTGTGCAGCAGCATGCAGCACGTGTGTGCAGCAGCATGCAGCACGTGTGTGCAGCAGCATGCAGCACGTGTGTGCAGCAGCATGCAGCACGTGCAGCATGCAGCATTGCTGCTCACCTTCCACGACGGGGGGCGGGGCGGGGGTCGACACGTCGGCCTGTCGCGCGCATCCTTCCAGGCCTCGACAAATTAATTTAATCAAACATTAATAAAATAAACAAACAATTAAAACTATATATACCATTTAATTCATATATACTTGAAATTATCAAAAATATTTAAAACTAAATTAACAACCTACCATTGTTGTTGATAGGTTATAATGATATCGAAGAAATATAATGATGCTAATTAATAATGAAATAATATAAAATAAATAGAAATAATGGAGATTGCTCACCGACGACGGCAGCGGCGAGCAGCAGCCACGGCAGCGGCTGCATTGCGACGATGAGTTGGAACTTTGTTATATGTATAACAATATATAATTTATACTCGTTTAATATACAAAATAGTATTCTATAATACATAGGATATATAATGTAATTATTAATATGGAAATGGAGCATATGATCGGGATGATTTCCAGTTGTGGTTACGAAAACTGTAAGTCCTACCAGCGATTGCACGCATTCGTACACATTGTATGAAAACGCACATAATGCACGTACACGCATACAATACACGTACACGCACATAATGCACGTACACGCACCCAATGCACGTACACGCACCCAATGCACGTACACGCACCCAATGCACGTACACGCATACAATACACGTACACGCACCCAATGTCTTGCAGGTTCAAGTTAGCTTTGCAGGTTCAGGTTGACCTTGCAGGTTCAAGTTAGCTTTGCAGGTTCAGGTTGACCTTGCAGGTTCAAGTTAGCTTTGCAGGTTGAGGTTGACATTGCAGGTTCAGGTTAGTTGGCGGGACGATGGTCAGGTTAATGAAACACAATAGAACGACGAACAATTTATGTTGTTAACGCAACTCAGGCCAAATACACGAACTGTAGATACTACGCTCATTGTAGAAGTTACAATGCCCATTAGAACTTGCAGTTATCGTAGAACTTACGGTCATCGTAGCAGTTCCAATCACCATCTTCATCTGGATCCCAGGGCACGAAATATAGAAGAAAGCAGCGAAATTAGCCCATCACATTTACCTAACAAGATTTCCAATGTTGTAAAATACTCCAATATTTAGGCGAGTCTTAGCTGTCTTTAGTCGACCAACAACAGGAATTATCAAAGTTTACTTTAAATAATTAAGATTTCTGGTGGGGTAAAGTAGCATATCAACAAAAAAAATGGCACAAAAAAAATGGTCGCAGCCACTAAAGGCTTTTTTGAGGGTACACTCGAAATGAGAGAGAATTTGTCCAAATAGCGGTGCACTACATCGTCCCAGACCATGTGGCTACATTCCCACGACCTATGACCTCCATCGTCACCTCAGAAACCATTGCAATGACTCGTTAATTACGATACTTCCGATTCAATTACAACGGAATATTTTAACTCCTCTAATTCCTGAATAGCAACAAGCGTGCGTTCCGTGAACGCCACACCAAGAAAGCTAGAGTCTCAGCGGACAATAACGCATGGGTAATAGTGACATCATAATGCCACTGCTACGATAACATCAATATGCCAGTGCTATATATACATTATTTGCCAGTGCCATGATGGCATCATTATGCCAGTGACATGCTGACATCATTATGCCAGTGCCATGATGTCATCATTATACCAGTGACATGCTGACATCATTATGCCAGTGACATGCTGACGTTATGCCAGTGCAATAGAGGCATCATAATGACTGGGCCAAAAATACATCACAGTGCAAGACTACAACGAGAAGTGCACAACTGTAGTAAGCCTGAATTCCTGCATGCATATTAAACGCAATTTCATCCAAGAAGACAGGACGATACATTTCTGAGTGTAATTGCATGACACTAATACATGAATCATTTAATAGCTAACTACTGCCGCAGTGCTACCACGCATACATAAGAACTTCCTAGAATACAAGCAATGTCAAACCAATGTTCTTCCTGAATTTAACAGTCATCCAAAAATTTAAGACAATTTCTTTGATCAAGAAAAAAGCAAGATTCCAAAGAACTGCATCAGCTGAAAACTAGTCAACATTAGAACCAAATATGAGCTTTATTCACAATCATATATGAAATAAACTAGAACATTTTCAGTTACTGGTCATTGGGATAGGTTTGCAGCAACGGAATTATACATTCCAATTATTGGCCAGCCTCAGCAAGCCTGATATCGATTTGCGCTTTAGTGGGAATGGACAGCGCGATCATTTCAGAGCCATCGTTCCGGAGGCCGAAGTCGGTTGACGATGTCTTTTCTGGGGACGTGTGGTCAAAGTCCGAAGCATCGATACCGGGAGGCAAAAGGTCGTCTTCAGCCTCGTCACCAACAGGAACTATTCGGCCTCGTCTCGCACTGGAGGTTGACGAGTCACGTTTAGGCTCGTCGGTGTCTGGCGGTTGCTGGGGTACCTTGGGAACTACGTCTTCGTCATTGTTGACGCGCTCTTCGAGGTGGTGCTGGTCAGGACCAGGGTCGGGGAAAGGTTCTTCGTCGTCAGATACTTCAGTGCCTGGAGGTGGGGGAGTGGCAGCTTCTTCACGGGATGGATTTTCTGGTGGGGGCGGAGGACGATTTACAAGCGCCGAATAATCGGGCAGCCCAAGCTGCATGGCCCGGGCTGGTGATGGGGCGGGGCTGCTGTAATGCACGGGCCTCATAGGCGCGGGAGGCGGGACTAAAGATACTATAGGGGGCGGCAAGGCAGGCATAGGGAGCGTGGGTGTAGGAGGCGGAATAGTCATCACGAACGGGGGTGTCATATTCGCCACGCATGTCACAGAAGGGCTCTGGTAGCTCGATGCCGAGTAGGAGGTGATAAGGTCAGGGGTAGAAGGTGGAGGGGTCATGAAAGACGGTGGCCGAACCACCTCTGCAGGTGTCACTATTTCTACCACAGGTTTGCTTTGCACAGAAATAGCTACCGGTTTCCCATCAGGCAAGGGAATGCGTTGCTTGTTCATAGCGAGCACCTTCAGCAGTTGGTTCTGAACACCAGACCCTTGCTTGCTGGGGACGCTAGGCACATCACGTGAGGTCGGGGACTGCGGAGCAGTAACCGCGGCCGACTTCACGCCGTTGTGATCTAAGTTAGTCTCGCGAGGCGAGCTGCTCGTGCTGTCCGTCGTCTCGGAGACAGCGCGGACATATTTGGGGTCCTGGATATCCTGCATTGCAGTGTTCGCGGGACCCACTGTGCTTTGCTCCCGGCGTTCCTTGTCATCTTTATCGCTGAAGTCGCTGTCCTTGTTAACTTTTCCTGACACAGATTTCATAGGCTTGCTTTTGAAAAAGGGCATCTTGCCAATGAGCGGAAATCGCGAGTGGTTCTTTTTCTCTTCCACAACTGGACCTTTCTTAGCAAACTGGTCGAGCTTCTCTTCCAGTTTCTCCCTGGCTTCTCTCTCTTCTTTTTCACGCATGCGCGCCTCTTCTTCCTCTCTCATGGTTTGCGCCTCCCTCTTCTCCCTAATCCGAGGAGCAACTTTTTTCTTCAGCTCTTCAAGAATTTTCTCGTTCTCGTCAAGCTTCGAAGCAACGAGCTCCGTGACGCTGAGCTCCGCAGGTTTCTTAGCCACCTTGGCAGAATCTTTCTTGCTTTTCGGATAGTTTTCCGCGACTTCGTCTTCCGTTTTTGGCTGCGCCCCGAACGCTCGCGCGACAACCCTGATGCTCTGCTGATTCTGACGAGCCGCTGCGTCACTGCCAGCCTTGTCTTCGTGGGCGTCATTGGACCAACGGCTACTCCTGCTGTCATTCCTGCCCTTCACGCTCCCACTTACTTTAGAACGACTGTAAGAGGCATCTTCTTCTTCTCGGTGTGACCGATAGTGGCGGCCTTTGGGAGCGAATTTATCTGCTGACTTGTGGTCTGACCGAGCAGAGTCCCGGCGATCTGACCGACCCGAGGCTCTTGTATCCTCAGGGGCTTTGTATTTCCCAGCCCGTCGGTTAGAGTTTTCACGAGGACTTGCGACAGGTTCACGAACCTCGTTGAGCTTTGCAGGAACAGGTTCCTTGGCTTCAGTTTTGATGTTTGGGGGCCGAGGCGTGATGGGGGCTTCGTGTTCTACGGGAGGCTCTGGCTTAGAGTCGACCAGCCGGTCCTGAGTCGGGGGCTCGGTTTTCATAGCCTGACTTTGACTCATCATGAATTTTGCGTAGGCGTTCATCTTGGCCTTCAAGAAACTCGACTCGTACAGCGGGTGTGACTGCACGTGTTCCTGAGGCAGAAAAAAATGCATTGAACTGGTATTCGGATGCAAGCATGTTTTGAGACATGAGCTACCATTTGTCACTGAAATAATTGTGATGGACTATAGACGATTATTGAATGAATTCACATCAATTTTCATATCAATCTAAATAAAGATGCTTTACCTCGCAGGCTGCGATATGAGCGACGCTGTGCAGATGATCCTGTGCTGCTGAGCTGACGTAGACACCGCACAGCGAGCACCACAGCGTGATGGCTGACTGTATGAACTCCACCCCTGCACACAGCACGGCAATATTAGCGCCAGCATCAAACTACAACAGCTACCCACCACTGCTGCACTAACACAACAACAAATCAATATGTCGTCTAAGATACTTGACGCAACATGACGTTAGTTCCATCCATCCAACTAAGATACTAACTGACGCAGTTAGTTGGCAAGTTCCATATAAGAAAATTGACGCCTACAATACCCACCCACAAGAGGGCGTGTGAATGATGCCTGAAGTTGCTCCTCTGCTGCAGGCGTAGGAGGTTCATTAAGGTGTGCATCCGTCTTCTGCAAGAGGACAGACTGTCTATAGGTCTGGCTAAAAATTGCTTACATATATGAAAATTCACAAAGATGGCTTTGTTACGACTTATTTTATAACGCAGTTGATAGTAATGTTCTCATTTTGACCAACTGCAACTGATAGAATCATTTACCTGCAGATTGGCAAGGTGGGCAGATCCTCGCAGATGTTCGATGAAAAGCTCAAGGGAGTCACAGAAGATTCCGCAAAGCTCGCACCAATGCATGCCTTGATCGATGAAGGGCGGCGCTTCTAGAGCTTTGGGTTCTTCTTTGACGTCCTCAGTTGACGCTTTGTACTTCGCGGCTTCAGTGGAAAGAACTTCCAAGCTTCCTATTGCAGACCGGGAGAGTTGGCGCGGTGGAGTTACTTCGTTGTCCTGGGGCATCTTGTTAAGATCGCTTGACGTCTTGCGAGCTTCGTTATCAAAGCGACTTCTAAGAGCACCGCGGGAAGAGGAAGACCTGCCTGCTGCAGGTTCTTCGTCACGCTTACCTTCTTCGTGGTACTCGGTCCTAGGACGTTTTGGTTCTACGTCCCCACCAGTCTTTTCGCGGCTGTAAGAGCGCCGCAAGGACGGCCGAGTGTCCTCGTCTCTGTCATTAACTTCCCAGTAATCGGGCCTCCTCATTTCTCGGTCATCGGACTCCTTTCGTCGGCCTTGCCCTTTGCGAGAGTCAAATTCTTGCTGAGGCACAAAATCATCCCTGCTGCGCATGCGCGCGTCCCTTGCAACGTCTCGAGGGAATCCCGAGTTTTCCATGCCCACGGGATGGTAACCTCCCCTCGACCGCATACGATAGTCTTCACCCCGAGCCTCCCCACGCTGCGCGTCATCCTTCCAGTGATCGCCCCGGGAGTCGAAAAATCGCTGACTGTCCCTGTGTCTGCCTCGCCTGTCGTTGTCCCCTCCACGATATTCCTCGTCAGACTCAGGCCTGTGACGGTCGTCACGGCTATGACGCCGGTCATCACGGCCACGACGATGATCGGGTCTTGGACTGCCATCGTAGTGGTCGTCTCGTCTCGTGGTCTGCTCGGTCTCATCGAGGCCATCAACGTCAGAGATCTCTTCAGCCGCCGTCAAGGAGAGAGGCTTCACAATATCCCAGTACCTAGGGGCCACCACAGGGCTTTTCTGCAGAGGTTCATCTTCATGATGTGCTTTGTCTTCATTTTGTTCTTCTTGTTCTTCTTCACCCACTTCATCCTCTAACTCCTTTGATTTCTCCTTGCTTGACTTTCCTTTAGTTTTTGCTACCTTCTTCTCAGACGCGGGCGAAGTGCCGGGGTCTTTGGATCGCTTCTCTTTCTTGCGCTTCTTGCGAGTTTTCTTCTTGGATTTCTTGGACTTGTTCTTTAACGACGAACCATCGTCAGGTTCTTTTACTGTTGCTGCCTCAAGGGACTCGTTAATCTCTTTCAAGATAGCACGCATATTCTGCTCCTGCTTTGTGATCTCTTGGATCAGAAGCGCGTTCTCCGACAAGATTCCCTGTAGGTCCTCATTGCTACCACGGTGGAAGCGGGTTAGGTCATCCTTCTGGGCGTCGAGACGCTGCTTCTGCTCTATCAACATCTCCATGTTCTTCAGTATGGAGGTTTTCTTGCCAATGAGGGCCTTCCTTGACTCTGCATCCAGCTGTTCCACGTCTCGTTCAGGAGCAGGAGTTTTCTCCTCTTCTTCGCTCCCATCAGAAGAACTTGATTCGCTTGACTCTGAATGGGCGCGCTTGCGCACTGTGGGATCCTGAAAAGATTCATTCATTTACATTTTAACTTTTCAATCTTCTTTGGAAAAAACGAACAAATTTACTAGTGCAATAAATAAAAAAGTTAAGCACAATCATTAAACTTGAATGAAATGAGCAAAGCAAGGCGAAAAAACATTAAAGTGAACTTCCTGAATCAGTGCTTCAACTAAGTTTATATATGGGAAGTACACAGCAAAATGATGAGACTGGGAAATCAACCCATAAACTATTCGTGATCTCTTATGACATCACATAAACTATCAGTGCTTTTTCATTTTATTTGTTATGTCATTCATTCTTTTGCTTCAGGTTTTCAAGCTTTATATAAATAATATAGACACAAAATAAGAATAGAGACCCGCACCTACCTGCTGGGTTTGCTTGACGTCTGCCGCTGTCGAGTCGCTGACATCAGGAGAAACGCGTCGGGCGTTGGCAGGCTTCGTTCTGCACACAAAACACCACTCTTAGAATGTTAAGAATTAAGGTATTAATATAATAATAAAAATATGGCGGTTTCAGCGTTTATTAGCCCGTTGGCCCGTCGCCTATTCTTAACATCGCACAACATCCACAGCTTACTGCGGGATCGAACTCGCCACTCACTGCTTCAATTTTTTTTATGGCTAACCGCCCGGCCTCCTCGCCGATTCTGACCCGTCACTGGCGCCCAGAGCTGGGATTGAACCCGCACCTCTCTGCGCCAATCCTGGTACTCTGGGCCTATACTTTCAAAAAAAGTTAAGTGATCGTAAGTTCATCAGCCAATCATTGGCGGCCTTTCAAGCAAAATCCACCAATCGTAGACAAGAAAATAGAACGTAAGTACTTACGTTTACTTAGCGAATTTTGAAAGTATGGCTCCAGGGATTACAGATTCTGTAAAAGAATCTGTAACCACTGAACTGTAACCACTGGGCATCCATACAAACTCATCGAATATTCATACAAGCATTGTAATTTGGTGCAAGCAGATGGCTGGTGTGCACTGAAATTAATCAAAAATTCATAAATGAACTAAAGATTTACTGTAATACAACAGAAATTCAGAGAAATTCTCTGAAAAAAAATCAGAATCAAAGATTGTTAAGGGAGCACCTGGAGTCGAAGGTGCTGGAGAAGAGGCTGTCCAGCTCCGTGTTGAGGCCGGACCTGGAGGGGGAGCCTCCTGGGGGCCTGCGCCCCACATCCCTTCTGCCGTCATCCTCATCCCTGCTGGGTAAAATAGATCCTTAATATATATATATATATATATAATACCAAATTAATGGCCCTAAAATACGAAATTATGGCTTTAAAATACCAAATTAATGGCCCTAAAATACCAAATTAATGGCCCAAAATACATTAATATTGGTCCTCAAACACCACATTAAAGGCTGTAAAATTCTCCATGTTTGGCCGTAAAATACTTTAAAATAAAAAATTCAAAAAGACTTTAAATACTTTAAAATACTTTGTGGACTACTATTCTTTGCTTTTAAATTTTTAGTTAATTTGCGATTTAAGCATTCAAGTGACATTAATTCTAAAATACTTCAATGTTGTCCTAAAGTCTTCTATTAATGGACCCCAAATGGCGTCTCGACTCACCGGTGCAGGAAGGGCGTCTCGATCTCCCATCTCGAGAGAGCGACCCCGGTGACCCTGGGGTCGTAAGAGGGTCGGTCCATCGCGGGGGTCCATAGCCCCTTCCCGGGACCCTCCATCCCCCCAGGGGGGGCATGACCCTCACTCTCCTTGAGGGGGACTTTACGGTGAGGAGGCGCCATTGGGGCCACCGAGATGGGGAACAACGGGGCCCTGCAATACAATGGAGTTAATTTACGTAAAGGGACAACAGCGGGGGAATGGGGGAGGGAGGAAAAGGGGGAAGAGGGAGAAGGGTAACAGGGGGAGGGGGGAAGTGAAGGGGTGTGAACGAGCTATCATCAAACTCAACTATGAAATGTACTCCAATTTCTAGAAATTATTTTAAAATTAAAATTATTAATAATTGAAAATTATTAAATTTTAGATCTAAAATCTAAAAATGCCCTCACAAAAGCATGAGTAAAACCTGTGTATTATAATTTCCAGTTTGAAGCAACACCAACACCAGGCCCACGACAGCATAAATAATTTCAGAAACCAATACCATACATACAAGGAGTTGGATAAAATAAGGAATACAACCGACATTTTGATATCGAAATTTCTGAACATGTTATAAACAATTAAAACGTGACATATTTTATATGTTTTATTGTTTATTGTTGCTGCTAATTAATATTTTATCCATACACAGATATTTTTTAGTAATTTTGAGTCTATAACTTAACCTATCAGTGGCAAACCTCTGTGACTTTCAAAGAAGACGAATTGTTGGTGCCCAAAGGGCAGTTGCTAGTGTGAAAGAAACTTCCCGAATGCTTGACGTTTCTAGAGATAGTATCTCAAAAGTAATGACTGCATTTGAAAGAGAAGGAAAAACGTCCTCAGCAAAGCGCAGGTCTGGACAAAAGTCGAAGTTGTCTGAGAGAGACCGTCGGTACCTAAATCGAATTGTGAGGAACAATCGAAAGACCGCGGCTGTTAAAATTACAGCAGACCTCACTGAACACCTACAGAACCCAGTTTCCATGAAGACTGTCCGTCGAGAGCTGCACAGATCTGGATTCTATGGAAGAGCTGCAATTAGCAAACCTCTCGTTTCAGATACAAATGCTTCAAAGCGTTTAGAGTGGTGTAAAAACCTCCAGAATTAGTCCCTCGAGCAATAGAAAAAGGTGATTTTCTTTGAAAAATCAAAAACATCGATAACCTTATTTCCAACATCTTGCCGAGTTTACGTTTAGAGACAGCCAAAAGAATCATTTAATCCTAACGGCGTCCTTCCAATCGTAAAACATGGCGGGGATCAGTATTATTCTGTAATGATCTAGGGTGCCATTTCTTGTGAATTCGATGGATCAATGATTTTTATTTATGGAAGATTCAACAGCAGAGACTATTTAGGAATTTCGGACGACCAAGATCATTAATGGTTCAAGCACTGTTTCCGGAGGGAAACACGCCATCTTTCAAGATGATATGCTCCGATCCAACAGCTGGAATTGCTACAAAATGGCATGAGGAACATTCTAATAAAGTTGAGCATCTCATTTGGCCACCACAATCACCGGACCTGAATATTATCGAGCTTCTACAGTCGATTTTAGAGATGCAAGTCAGAAGTCGTTTCCCGCTACCATCGTCTTTAAAATAGCTGGAGGGTATTTCAACTGAATAATTGGTTAAAATTCTTTTGGAAACAATTCACAATTTGTATTAATCAATACCTCGGAAAATTGAGGCTGTAATCGCCGCAAAAGATTGACCTACACCAAACTAAAAAATAATTTGTGGATTTTTCAGGTATTTCCCTATTTTGTTTAAAATTTAAACCCTTGTACATGCAATTATTGTCAATGAATTGTCGAAACCCAAGACATTTCAGAAACTGAGACGACCGAAAAAATGTACAATTCACATAACCCAAGTCTAAACACCGTGGTACGGTATGTATATTTAAAATTATCAAGATTGAAATACCAAAACCAAAAATATATCAGTAGTGTATACATATAGGCACATGAAATTATTGCGACTAAAATTTCACCAACGAATTATCTAAATAGGTAATTATTCTCAATAAAATTATGAAACCAAAGGAATATCGAAGTAATTGTTATCACTAATATTTCAATACCCAATTTATTTCAGAACCCCGACCATTCTTTCTAAACCATGCATGATTAATAAACATTGTATGCAGAAAATTATCAAGTCTAAAATACCTAAACCCAAGACGTTTCACAAACTAATATATTTATTTAATTCACCATTACGACAAAAATTCGAATTCCAAATAGATATAATTATTGGGATTTAAACTACCTCATAAATTGTTTAAATTATTACAAGACAAAAGATAAGATAATTTAGCAGTAATTCAGAAACTAATAAATTAATTTATTTAACTATCACGACAAAAACTTAAAATCCCAATAGATGTAATTATTGGGATTTAAATTATCTCATAATTTATTTAAATTATCACAAGACAAAAGATAAGATAATTTAGCAACTAAAATGACCTTCTCTCCCCGTCCCGCGGAGGTGACGGATGCTGGAAGCTGATGCGGTCCGCGTCCGCAGGTTTGGTCTTAGCCTCAGCGTCCTTATTTTTAGCCTTGATTGTATCCATGAGCTTGTCGATAGTTCCTTCACTCAACTCCATGTCCTCCTTCAGCAGACTGGCCGCTGTGAACATAAATTAATTATTATATATCACAGCACGAGCATGACTCGGCAAAACAACTAATTTCCATTCAACAAAAGCAGTAACAGATCTCAAACATATGACTCAAGAGCGGCAAGCTCTAATCCAATGCAGAACCTTTCCACGACGCAGCAGCAATCAAAAACCCCCGAATATCGTTTTCCGGGACGTAGATTCAACCATTTTTAAGATGTTTTTGTTTTTTTAAGAGGGTATTTCGATTTTTCCCATCAAAGTCCTGTTAGAAGAGGTACAGTGCAAGTAATTGGTTGTTGAAGCAGACATTGAAAACGGCGTTTTGTATCACGAAGAAACTGCATGTTTTTGCAGTGAAACTGAAGAATTGAAGCAGCGATGAACTTTGCGGTAAATTCTTGCTCTGTTGCTGTAGAATAGAACAATATTTCCATCAAATAATCAAGGGCAGGCATGCACGGATATCGTCAGATATGAACTCATATGGTATCAGCCAAATAAATTATTATCTAAATAATGATGATGCCACGCAATCTCCATAAAATCATACAAGTGAGATGCAGGTAGAATCAATCCCTTCAAATCTACTATTAGTGAAGTGGCGTGTGATCTACATTAGTTGTAGCTACCCACCCACATGTAGGTAGTAGAAACGCACTCCTAAAGGCTTCTCGCAAGGCAGTACGCTTTACTAAATCAAGACAAGAAAATAAAAAGCTTTTATGTTGTCTCCATCAACTGCGAGGAGAAGTGGCATGATTTTACACAATAAACATGGCAAGATATCAAATGAACATTGTACGGATACCAGAGGTACATACCCACCTTTTAAAAATCACGATAAGAGATATAAGTCATTTGTATATGCGTCAAGTATATTCCAGATTAACTTAGTAGTAGGATTAGATTGATAACTACGCTAACCTTTCTCAGGGTCCATTGTGGCGAGGGTTTCTTTTGTTTTTGGTACCGCGAGGTCTGGTTTGTTTTTTATAGGTCCCCCCTCCAGGAGAGAGTGCAGCTTGAAGTCGTCACCGGAGCTCCGTTCAGAAGATTTTCCCGAGTCTCGGCTGCGGCTTCGGCTTCGACTCCTGCGACGACGTTTACCCGACCTTGATTTTTTGTCTTTTTCGACACTGAGGCTACGCCTTGGAGGCGACCTCGATGAACTATTGTAGCTTTTGTTCCTTTCTTCTTCGTCTATTAAGGGTGAAGAATATCTTTTGTCATCATGAGAAAGAGAACGACTTCTAGACCTAGACACATGGCGGTCATTGTCGTCGTGGTAAGAAGGCGAGCGACTGCGAAGTCTGCGGCCTTCACGAGACAAGGACCGACTTCGGTACCGCCCACGGCTACGTCGGTCCTCATCGCCTCGCCTTTGGTCGTTCCAGGATTCGCGGTCCCTAGACCGACGTTGGTCAAAGCTCTGGAAGGACCGGCGATCGTCTCTGTGGTTCTGGAATCTGCGGTTCTGGAAATTGCCTCGCCCTCCACGGCCAGGCCTGCCGTAACCAGCATCATCGCGTCGGTATGCGCCGTACGCTGGCTTGTCGAACACACGGCTCCTCTGGTCCCGAAAGTGGGTCTGCAGGCAAAATACACGCAGAAAGTGAGTAAAGTGCCCCATGATATCTATTATTTTTAGGAGTATTACCTAAACCGTAACAAGTAACATGGGACGTTAGGGTACGTATGTAAATTGTAGATTAATATCGTACCATAAATGAAAAAGCCATCCACCTACTCCTGCTTTGTTTTTGTACGTCAACAAGCTGAGAATCAGGGGCAGCGTGGTTTTCATACAAATAACACAAAATATAACCAGAGAACATCTGATCAAAACTAATCATATTTTGACCGTACAGTAACAAATTGCAACAAAAACTTGTGACTATCAGTTTTTACTTCTGCAATGGCATGAGTAAGAACAAGTAAGCACCTTACCTTCTGGTATCTCTGCAGCTTGACATGAACATCTCTGCAGGCGTTGCCCTTCCTGCAATTGGGATCATCGCGGCACACGAAGCCATGAATATAGCTGCACTTCTCAGCGCCTTTGATGCAGGAATTGTTTTTCCAGAAGTGACAAGTCATAGGATATTTGCTGAGCACATCAATTGTTGGAGTCCTAGGGTTGTTATTTCCCCCGGCATTGCCGTAGTTACCAGACACAGGGCGGATGAAGCGTCGGGCTGAGGGAGAACCTCTTCGCGGTTCCCCAGGTGAAGAACCTCTACGTGGTTCTCCTGGGGAAGAACCTCGGTTCGGGGAGTAGCTACGTCGGTCGCTGTTGGGGCTACGATGGAGCTGAGGATCTCTAGGGCTGCGACAACCTGAAAGGCTTCTGCTACGGGAATATCGGTCTGAGGAACCTTTGTCGTAAGCACCATCACCATCTTGCTCACTAACCTCTGACTTGAGGGTGCTACTCATGGCTGCAGTGCAGCAAATCAAAGATAGTATTTAAAATATCTTAATGCATGTAACCACGGGCTGATAAGCATGGGTTTGCAGTAGTTTTCTGTTGAACAGAAGTACATAAGTGTTAAATCCATTCTATGAGAAACATCAAACTCTATTCTAATATTTTTTTGTAATTTTTCTAATCCACCAGTTCTTTCAAAATATAACTCTCACTCTTTTCATTCAGAATCACCCTTATCATTACCTCTTTCTCTAATCTTGCCACACATCCAACATTCAGATACCCCAGTTTTCTTCACACCCACAACACACATAAAACACTCATCTTTTTTCCTCTCATTCTCCCTGTACATTTGTTCATTCCTCCAGCGCCTGCGGCTCTTGCACTAAAGAGTAGATTGCCACTTCTGCAACCATCATAAATACATTAATCCTCGTGAATATCTTTCACAACTACATTTACCAATTAGTATTACTGCAGTGGCAGGAATAATACTTAAATAGGGTGCACAACAGAGCAAGTCTAGCACGTAATAATGCAATATTGGAAAATCCTTACATATAAGCAATGTTTCAAGCACACCCACAAAGAAATACTAAGCAAACTTACATATTTATTATAGACAAATAAAATGCTACAAAATTGGCTTGCATATAAAGTCATGTGTAATCAGTCTCAACTTTATCCGGTCATGCCATGTTAACAGGGCAACAAGTTAGCAGTCTTTGTTTACATACCATGCCAATTTAGCCTGCCATACCTCAAGACCTCAAGATCCCCAAGTTAACAGACGTGCTTAGTGTTTGTTCAAGGACCCAAGTATCCTTGGATTAAGGACCCAAGTATCAACCCAAGGCCAAGCAGAAATTGCCACAATCAATGGCTACCAAGTGATGCCCACAAGCAGCACCAAGAAATAAACTAACCTGCTCAAGACTCAACCCATTGGCTAGCTTATCTCATTTTGTAGCCACTAATATTGCAATGCAATGGTGGGCAAACCAAGATCCCATGCTGCAACATGCTTTGCTAAGGACACATTTGCCATGGGCAGTAACTACCAATTTTATGTTGTTCATAGATACCAATCAATTGATCACATTGGTCTATAGACACCAAGCACAATGAATCAAATGATAGTGATCAGACCTGCTATCATGCATGGTTATAAATCTCAGGACAAAATGGCTCTATAGAAGATTTAAATATAAAACTGGTAGAAAGCAACTGTGACTTAAAATATTTCAACTGTAAAATCTAAATAGTTTGTAATTGCACAACTACAAAGTCACGTATTTAGTTTAACGAATATGGTAGTCATGCTGCTCCAATAAATCTATATTATAAGTTCACATGGTTTATGCTTGAGCTAGTAAGGAACACAGCACAGTTTTTACCTACAAATTAAAAAGTATTGTATCACAAACTTTGAAAATACTTCCAGATATTTTGTTAATAAACTAGAATTTTAAGAATGTGATTTGACAAAACATTTTCAAGATTTTAGGAGCGAAAAAGATTTTATGCATCCAAAAAATGTTCCTGAGTAGTGATTTATGCCAAAGTATCTAAAGTCACTTCCTAAATCTAAATTGGCGCATTTTCCTTCTAATTTAAATTTTAATAGATCATACTAACTCCTATCAGATTGTACATTCAATTTATTAGGTCACTTGGATCAGTAATTTCTATAACCAAGCATAGTTTGCAAAACTTAATAAAAAACATTCAAATAAGAATAGTTAGTATCCATGAGATTATTCATAATTTTACTCTGGATACCTATCCTTAGAAAATGAAAGCTCATTAAAATTTTATAATTTAATATGGCACAAACTAGACACAAGGAGAGCAATTTAATATGAGAAAGGTCAATTTTCCAATTGCTATGTAATATATAAGGTACCTATGCTTGAGGATTTGAGATCATCCATTTTTATCAAATTTTAAGGGCCTTGCCCTTAAAATTTTGAGGGCCTTGCCCTCATTTCATCTAGCTACCATCAAACAGGGTAATAAGGGATGGGCGGGGTAAATCAGGACAGTCATCCCACATTTTGTAGAAATATTGTAGCAGCTAAACTAATCAAAATATTGCAAAACTAAAATAGTGGCATAAAGTTCAACATCTTTCCTATCTATGTAGTATAAAGCAAATTAAGAAATCATACATTTACTACCTCCAAAAAATCCCTGAAAAAAGTGTGGAAAGTGAGATTTTAGAAAAGTACCTATGCTAAAGTCTGTAGCAAAAAAGATATTTGTCTTTTTAAAAAATTTTCTTATGTTGGCTTATGAACATTATTGATGCAATTCGCATATCTCATTAAAAAAATGTTAGGCCATTTCTGCAATACAGTGTAATAAGCAACACCTCCTGGGGTAATACAGCTAAGGGACTCCCCTAAAAACACATTTATAGTAGAACCTTGATTAGAAAAGGCTCCAGTTAACAAAAAAAAAAAATTACCAAAAAAAGTATTTTTTATTACATCTATTGCTCACAGCCTCACTGAAAAAAATTCCACTTAAAACTCTGCTTTGCCACTATGCCTGCGTTAGGAGTTAGGACTGCCTGTTGCCAATTCTTAACATCAAAAAACATTTACAGCTTGTTATAGTCTTGCATTTGCAATTCACTGCTCTTATTTATGCTTCTCATAACCACCCAGCCTCCTCACCAATTCTGACCAAAAAGTGGAGACATGAACCCATGTCCCATCGCCATTGAACCGTGGAGTACGGACTAGGACACTAGGTACAGCCGTACAGAGTACTGGCCCTACTGGCTACTGGCACACCCGGCACAGACTAGTTTTGATCAAAGCCTGTCAAATAAAATTTAACTGCAAAATGATCTTGATAGTTTAATTGACTGGGCTGCGTTTCAATGCTGACAAGTGTAAAGTACTTCACCTCGGCAAGAACAATGAACAGCTTACAGCATGAGAAAACATGGTTGCAACTTGCAACAAGAGGGTTATGCTTGAGAAGTCTTGCATGGAAAAAGATCTTGAAGTTTGGGTTGACAAGGAGCTAAAATATTCTAGGCATATTGAAACACGTGTTAATAAATCCAAAAAACTGCTTGGGTTGATCAGACGCTCCTAGAAGTACCTAGATAGGTATAGAAATGATGAAGCTGTTGTTCACCTCCGTCGTGCGCCTGAACCCAGAGTTTGAAAATGTTGTGTGGTCACCCTCACTGACAGTCACTGAGACTTGAAAAGGACAGAAATTTAGTTGAGTGTTCAAAGATGTGCAACAAGGATAATTCCAGGCTTAATTAGCAATTAGGGCAAGTCTTTTCACTCTTTTGATGAAAGATTGAAGATTATGAAGCTTCCCAGTCTCCGTTATCGTCGCCTGCGTCACACGGCTTTGAATTAGAACACTAACGAATATTGAACATCAACTGTCAAATTTGACACATTTTTCGATGATCTCACCAGGTGGCATGCATTGTCTCTCTTTGGATGTCAATATTTTCCCACAATCCCACTAGATGGCCAAGACCTAGTGTTTGGCACTTGCACGCGAAAAATGATTAATAATGTTAACATAAAGGAAATGGTCACGGTATTGGCAGTATTTTGACGCGTAAATGTATGACGTCACCATTTCAACCAACCCAGGTTTCATAGTGTGGCATAAGAGTCGTTGTAATAGTATCTCAGGGGTCATCTGGTCGTTGTAAATCCACATGCCACTCGTTGGTCGGTAGGTTTTCCAGTCGTTGGTCGGTAGGTTTTCCAGTCGTTGGTCAGTAGGTTTCTTAGTAGCTAGTTTGGTCACAGGTCACTTAACAACGAAAAAATCATCGTTAATAAGAAGATTAGTAGATAACCTCAAGTTTTTGTACATTGGATTGTTAATATGCAACAAACCACACGTATAATGCATTAATGGTTTAATTTCTTCACACCAGGTACCGTGCCTTCTTTACTCCTGAATGAACACTGACGTCTGACCGCTTCTAATCCTAAAATGCAGAGGGCACAGCTTTCTCGGAATGGCGAACTCATTTTTAAATACAAAAACTAAGATAATAATTTTGTTTCATTTTCAACTCTTTATCCTATGCANCTAAATCGTTATGATTGGCCTCCATTTTACTTATGTTAATTTGCGCCTTCTCTTTGCGAAACCTTAATTTAACTTTTATTCGCTCACCGTATGCTAGACAATGAAAACTGTAACGCGAGATAAACGATTACTTCTACCGCAGCGCCTACTCGAGAACTGGAGCCTATCTATATATATATATAATAAAAAAAAAACTGCCGGAGAAGAGAAAAAATACTAGATTCGCACCCCACGAGGGGTAAAATATTCGAATATTCGCGGACAAATTGACAGAAATAAAAAAAATGAAATTCGCAACCGAGACTATAGCGATCGCCACGCCAATACTATTATGGTGTTCAAAATTATATAAATAAGGAAAAATCGGATCTCTGCGCGTCCGTCAGTAAATACGGTAATTTAAGGTATACAGAAAATTTTTGACATTACCTATATGGTAAAACTGCGCGCCAAACTAAAAATTGTCAGTTAATCCTCGTACGGATTACGGATATATGAATATATTTGCGCGCCTTAATTTCCGGAAACGAGAGAGAGATACGGGACCCTCTAGTCAGTAAATCTTCCCCCAAAATATTATAAAACCCGACACAAAAATCATATAATACACAGGAAATGGTTTCATGCACATCCATATACATAAACAAAAAAAAATTCCTTTGTTAATTTGTTCGCTGTTTGACTAACCCCACATCTGACACCACTGAATAAAACTTTGGTTTGTAGGTTTGTTATAAAGTCTAAGACTTCCTAATTCTCGCTAATCTTTAACTCTGTTCGAGATCTTTAATCACTTCTAACGTTGCCACGAGGTTAAATCAGAATTTCAACTTCCGTATTAAAATGATTACGTTAATTTATCGATTTTCTATCATCTGATACAAATTAGGAATTTGCCAGGTTGACTTTTGCCAGAGTGGCTATACTGGCACGGTGATAATACGGTTCTCTTTTAGTCAAAACAGCGAACTAGTTAGCAAAGGAACAATGACAACACATGGGGATAAATTCTATAGTTACTATATTATAGGAAAAATCTAGTCTAATACAATCGGGCAAGTCGGCGTAGCGAGACACGAATTTTACACGGAATAGTTCTATACTGCAGCAATAAACAAAATCCCACTCTAGTCCAAGGCTCGGGCTCTGATCTTGTGAAGCTTCGACTGAATTGACACCGGGGAAACTCCCGACCCAGTACTGGTTACAAGATACAAAGTCGACCTATCTACAAAGTTAATTCATTGCTAAGTCACCCGTCTACGGTAACAAGGACCTGACACAGCGTGAACAAATAAAATGGCTAAAACTGCAATGTTATTTTCTCAATTTTTCACAGATGTACATCACCCGAGATCTGTTGAGACGATCGCGTCCGAGACGAATCTGACGGTGAAGTTCCGGCGTGATTCCAAATTCTCAGCAGTGCTTACGTAGCGTTCCTCGATGACTACCCGAATTTCGTGAGGGCTATAGTGGGCCGTGAAGACGTTGATTTCAGGAGTGCGTAAACGTTGATTTCAAGAATACTATATTCGTCAATAAACGTGGTGCTCAATAGTTGTAGATTCACATACGAGGACTTCGATCTTCCCAGTCGTTGAATGCTTCGTTGCCCGCAATTGTCGATACAAACGTCGACTATTTCAAAACATTTGGATCGTCGCAGCTAGTCCTCTTACACTGTATTGAACAACAGCTTGGTGACACTACTACAGGAGACGGCTCTCCACTCACAAAACGATGTTACTCGGCACGCTGGCCGTTTCACTCTGCGCTGCTTCTTCTCATACCTCCCTCCTTTTATAGCCCCCATTCGCTACCCGCGCGGGGCGTCGTATACCCGCTTGTTTTCAAACCGTCGGCTTTTCAAATCTTCAACGGTTCTACATATATTCCCAATTTTATGAATTTCTATCCTTATCAGATATTGGGTATAATTGTGCGATTCATTTTGCCCTTTGTGCGAAAACTACCTCCATTTGTACGAATGGTATGAAGATTACAAAAGAGGCACACAGAAAATTTTATTGTAGTCAAGTTTCAACTTGAAAAGAAGTCAACAACCAGCGCCATCTGTCGGATTTTTCTTCTAAGCTTGAACACATACGACAGACTGAACCAAAATTTTGTACACTTGTGACTGATAATTGGCAGATGCTGCCTTGTACATTTCTGTTTCCAGCGGTGGCGTGACTGGCATCTGAAACCAAGTCAGTGTAATATTTTTTTTTAAATATCGTGTATTAAATTATTCATTGTCATTGAAAAATATAAATTTACTATTAATCCAGGTTTGGAGTCGTTGTAATGGCCAAAAAATGGTCGTTAACTTTACAAAAAGTCGTTGAAATTCCAACGACTCTTGCCACTTTATGAAACCTGGCAACCAACAACCATCAACAAACGCATAGAACTAAAACAAAGCTTAATATAAAGGAAAAGCTGGAGAGGTGAGGGAATTACCCACGATGTCAGAATATACCGCATTTACCCTACGTTTAGTCTTAAAATGCCTCGTATCCTACGGAACAACTGAAATCTAGAAGACTAGAAGTGATTTTAAATCTACCATCCGTTGAAAAGATTTGATCAAGAACAGACTAGACAAGGCTATGCAGGAGCATATGTTTAGTCTTAACTCTTAAAATGCCTTCATTGCCTTCAAGCCTTGTATCCTACGGAACAACTGAAATCTAGAAGTTATTTTAAATCTAGGTACCATCCGTTGAAAAGATTTGATCAAAAGGCCAGTGAGCCAGTCTAGCCAAGAAAAGTACAAGAATTGGCGACAGGCCTATTCTTCAATGCCAAAGATACTACTATACTTAACTATACTAAAACTCTGACTCTGTTCTTCAATCTTGCTCTTGCCTCTTGGTACTTTGAACTTAAGCCCAGTCCAAGCATCATGCATGGAAAACATGATCGTCTGCAGCGGTGAGCGCCTGAGCGGTGCATCCGGAAACTAAACTAGGAACTAGGGTCATGATAATTATTGAAATTAGACTGTTAGAAGTAGGTGGTACTGGTAGGTTAATTTTATCGTCGTTTTTAGTGTATGGCCCAGTCAATCGACTCCCTCGGTCGACCGTCTGAGACTGGCACAAAATCAGGGCGATTGACGATCTTCGATTGCACAGAAAGCCGATAGGTCCAGACAAAATCGATCAGTAAAGAATTTATCAAGTCAATTCAGTGAAATAAAATACAGAAATACCAGCACATAAATGTTGATGGTACGCTGAACATTTGTGTAGACTGTAGCGGTCAATTTGCCGTTTTCCTTATACGAGCCTTATCCACGGATAAAGCTGCTAATGATTTGTCGTGTTGGTACTTGCTCCTCCGTCATGTACTTTCTGGAGACTGATAGCGTGTAAAGTGTGTTTTGGACGGTTCTGAAGAAGATGGGTATTTAAATATTACCGTTTATAGTACAATAATGTTGCTAGGTTCATAAATTACAATATAAATTCATAAATTCTTCACAAAAATAGTTATTTTACTGGTCTTAAAAATTACAGACATCAATTTTAATTGCATTCAATGAATAGCCGAATTTACTTTTTTTCCAAAAAAGCGTGAACTCGTTCAGAATTATACACAAACTCAACAGTTATGTAACATAAATGTTGGTACGGTAAAAATATCGTTCACGCTTTATGTACACGCTTAAAAAAGCACTACGCTATGGTCGTGGCTTATGCCGAACTCCTAACGTGCGTATAACAGTAGCAGTTCTCAAACTGCACACGTACTCTCATTCACGTTACCAATCAATTAATCCGCCAAGGAATTATTGTGGGTGCACACAAATCAGCAACCTGTCCAGAACATCAAGCACCAGAATCTATGAGAATGAGTGGCCTAATTAAAGTTGATTAATATTTCATTTTGAATGAATAAATTTAAGAAAAATTTGCTGAGAACGGTAATGATCAATCCGCCAGGATATGATTATTTAAGTTTAAGCTAAAAAAGATCTAAACTTTATTATATTCCACTCATGATGAAAAATCTTGCAACCTGCTCCTTCTCTGGTTGTTGCCTCAAAGTTAATTGGTTAAAAAATATAAGTCAGTACTCACTGCAGTGAGTGACAGAGAGCGCATTTTCTCGTCGACGAAAACGTGAAGTCACGGACGGACAGACAGACAGACGGACGGACATGGCGAGCACAATAGTGCATTTTTGTCATAAATGAGAACGTGCGCTAAAGATGGCAATATTGTCCAGGCAGTAGAGGGTCGAATGCTGTACAACTGCAGGCAGGTAGGATGAGGCTCATGGTTGGTCGAGTATGACCATGACGTTGTCATGGCGTATCGATGACGTAATAAAATTATAAAATGAAGTTCCCGGTGTGACGTCAGAAAGCGATACTTTAGGAAATAAGAAAAAACCTTAGTTATGACCTAACCGTAAGCCCATCATCTCCGACAACACAATTTTATCAATGTCATAATATAGATTCATTATGATGCAGCATCTAACCTCAGGTTATTAATGCCCAGTGTTTGTAGTATCGGTTTGAATAAATTAATTTGGAAATTTAGAGGAAATCAGTAGAGGGGTTGGGAAGTTGGACTGATAAATACAGAAAAAATAGCAAGAGTTATTCAACTGATACTTTCAAGTTCAATAAGTGATAAGTTCAAGTTCAACAAGTGATAAGTTCAAGTTCAACAAGTGATAAGTTCAAGTTCAACAAGTGATAAGTATAAGTTCAACAAGGGTTCAAGTAAAAACTTCTCTATATAATTTGTCCGAAGTATCGTCAGAAGAGACTGAAATGATATTGGATTTTCTAGATGCAGTTCATAAATAAAGGGTTAAAAAAATTCGTTCGACACGTAGACAATTTTACTACACGAGACACAATAATGCAATGCATACAACATCGCTGACAATGAAGAGGCGTGTAAATGAATAACAGCTAATTGTAGGTCGACAATAAATGCTAGGTTCAAAAAGGGTTCAATTGTAGCGACAATCAAGCTTGGAAGAGATACAAGTGTACAGTAAATAGCGCGAGGTAAAATGCAGGTAAATCGATGGGCACTTATACTGTACAGCGAATAAATTACCAAAGGATCACGATAAATGCCACGATGCTATGTACAATACAATAAATTATACGATAATATTTACAGTACGATAGGAACGACTACAAAGCTTCATTCATGATGTCAATTCCATGACTTACAGCTTTCACTCACCACCCTCACTCACTCCCCTCACCCATTCACTTCACTTACTCCCATTACTCATTCACTACCTACACTCATTCCTCTCACCCACTACCCTCACAACCCCTCCCCTCACTCATTCCCCTCCTTCCTCCTCCTAAACTTGCTCTTGAGCCCCGTGGCCTGGGGAGGTTTGGTGACGATGTCGGGGTTGGTGGCGGTCTTGAGGCGCTTGGCGTTCCCCATGGCGGCCTTCATCCTGCGGGGATCAGGGGGGACTCTTAGTAATAAGTGGGGTTATATTGGGCCTAAATTCTACTATAATGGCTTTATTTTGGTTACAGGGATTCACTTCCAGTTATAATAGTTCAAGGTTAGGTAAAGAGGACCATACTTCCGGTTATAATGGCCCATCTGCCGCTTATAAGGACCTCTCTTCCGGTTATAAGGACCCTAGGTCAGGTTAAGAGGAGATTAACTGTGGTTGTAAGGATACTCTCGCGATTATATGGACCCCTTATTATAAGGAACCATCCTAAAGCTATACCAGCCTACTTACAGCTATAAATTATTCAACAGTTATCATCTTCAAGTTGCAGCAGACGCTAAGAAAATTGAATGAGACGTTCTCCAAAATAGCGCTGAACTATTTAGCCGTTGTAAGGGTAAATCCTGACCGAGGTGAATCCTGACCGAGGTGGGCCCGACAAAGGGGCGTATCAATGCTACGGGTGTCATTGTGTCATTAATTCTAATCGTGTCGTTAATCGGACAAAAGAACCCAGATAATAATGAGAGTGCAGGTCGTACCGCTCCTTAGCGACGCGCCGCTGCTCCAGCGTCCAGATGGTGGCGAAGTCCCTGCAGAAGGGCGACCACACGCTGAAGAAGTCGTAGGGCGTCACCTCCTTGCCGCGGTTACTGAACTGGAAGTACTTTACGACCTGGTCGAACCTGCGGGGGCAACATCGTGACGTAAGACTTACGACCTGGTCGAACCTGCGGGGCAACATCGTAACGTAAGACTTATGACCTGTCTCACTTCCTCAGGCAGCCCTCATGACTCACTTCCTCAGGCAGCCCTTATGACTCACTTTCTTCTCCTTGACTCACTTTTTCTGGCAGCGTCGTAGGGCCTCCCCCTCCTGCTGGAGGTCAGTAGTAGCAGAGGCCAGGAACTCGTTCATCTTCCCCTGGAAAGGCTCCCTGTGAGCCTCATCTGACCTCTCAACCACGCGTCCTACTCTGACCTCGCAATCCTTCAAGTTCGCGGCCAAGGACTTCAGCTCGGCCTGAAGATCCTCAAATTTAAAATTCGCAACCTTCTCGGCAACGTAGGGATCAGGGGTAGGGAGCTCAACTTTGTCGGTGCCCGCGTCTTCCCCTTCGTATTTCTGGATATATTTAATGACTATGAAGTGTAGGAGAGTGAAGGAGTTCTGTGAGCTCTTCACGTCCTTCAGTTTCGGCAGGATTTCCAGCCCGAACCCGTCCGCCTGACCGCGCTGGCGGTTGCCGCCGTTCATGTAATTCCCGAGGGCAAGGATGAGGCCGAACACTCGCTTGAGGGGCTGTGACGTCATCAGGTGCTGAGGGTAAACGAGGGTAATTACGTGATGAGGGTAAATGAGGGTAATTAAGTGATGAGGGTAAATCAGGGTATTTAGGTAATGAAGGTAAACGAGGGTAATTAGGTGATGAGGGTAAACGAGGGTAATTAGGTGATGAGGGTAAACGAGGGTATATACTTGATGAGGGTAAACGTGGGTTATTATGTCATGAGGGTAAACTACGTAGGGTAATTGGGCGCTGTGACGTCATCAGGTGTCGAGGGTCAAATGAGGGTAATTGGTGTTAATGCATAGCACGCACCTGCATGGTAGAGAGCAGCAGCTGCAGCTTGGCACGCAGCTGCTGCAGGAGAGCACGCACCTGCATGGTAGAGAGCAGCAGCTGCAGCTTGGCACGCAGCTGCTGCAGGAGTGACGCACCTGCATGGTAGAGAGCAGCAGCTGCAGCTTGGCACGCAGCTGCTGCAGGAGGTCACCGAAGGAGGCACGGAAGAGGATGCAGGAGAGACGCTCGCTGAACTCGTTCATACGCGACAGCTCCAGCAGGAACCTGAGGGCGGCGCACTTTGTAAGGTCTCGTAGTACACGTCATAGTACACGCAGTTCATTCATAAACTTCATAGTAAACGCAGTTCATTCATAAACTTCATAGTAAACGCAGTTCATTCATAAACTTCATAGTAAACGCAGTTCATTCATAAACTTCATAGTAAACGCAGTTCATTCATAAACTTCATAGTACACGCAGTTCATTCATAAATTTCATAGTAAACGCAGTTCATTCATAAACTTCATAG